GGGGCGGCAGCGGAGGGAGGTGGTGGAGGGGTAGGGGAGGAAGGGACGTCAGGGGGAGGGGCGGGGCCGCTGGGACCCCGCCCTTCGCCGCCGGCCCTTAAAGGCGCAGACCGAGCCGACCCGGGGCTCTGGGGGCGGAGGCAGGTCCGGGCGCGCAGCTGAGGAGCATGTTCTCACAGGAGAGTAAAGACTCATCGGAAAAAGGAGAAAGGGAGAGAGAGACGCGAGGCGGAGCGCCAGGGACGCAGAGAAGGATACTGAGAGACGACAGATGGGGAGACACAAAGAAGCAGGCAGGGAGGCGCAAAGTGAGGGAGAGACACCGATAGGAAGACACACACGCAAGATGAAAAGAGAGACTGGGAAGTGCACAGAGACAAAAAAGACGTAAAGGCAGAGTGAGAAACATAGGGAGAGAGACACATAAAGCGACAGAAAGTGAGAGAAGTAGCGAGCGACAGTCAGGGAATGAACGAGAGATCTATTAGACAGGAGAGACAGAAAAAGATGCGCTGAGGCCAAGGAGCCCCTACATTTAGGCGAGGACTAGACAGACGTCGCTGTCCACGTCTCTCTCCCGCCCCTCCCTACCCCTCCCAGTCCCCAGCCTTGGATTCCAGGTCGTTCTCGCTCTCGGGGACAGAGGGTGAAGGATGCTGGGGGGATGGGTGCTGGGCGGGGCACTGCAGAGGCCCCGAGCATGCTCTCCAGCAATGCAGCGGCCCACCTGCAGGAGGCCCCAGACCCGGAGGTTGGGGGCTGCAGCCTCCTCTCCTCCCCTCTGCACCCCAGCTAAGGTCTGAGCACCCTCTCAACCCAGTTTTGTGACTCGGCATAAGCGCTTGCCAGTTCCCGGCCTCATTTCTCAGACTATAAAATGAGGAGGAGGTGCTGCCGGGCTAGAGCAGGTGCAAAGGCACTTTGTGGAGTTGTTCCACCATGGGGCGCTGCCCTTCTTCCGAGGAGCAACTGAGGCGGGAGAGCCAATGGCTTCTCATAGGTCATTCAGTGCTACGGAGTCCTCCCGCGCCCTCTAGCCCAGAATGGGGTGAAAAAGAGTGGAGAAGACAGTGCGTATGTGGGTCCGCGAAAGACGCAGCCCTGGATGCAATGCAGTCCAGGCCCTACTCCTAGCTCCCTCCGTCCTACCACCATACTGGGACATAGTTTCCCCTTCTTAAAAACCGATACGATGATGGCAGCAGTGTGCTGCAGCCGGCTCCAGAGAGCCTATTGAAATTTTGGAAGTTGGTCGTGTTAAAACACAGCCATTATTAAAAAGTCAAATTGTGTAAACTCACAACGAAATAAATTATATTGAAAACAAAACTAATTGCGTTGTCGTCAAATCGATTCAGGCTCATGACAACCGCATGTGTTACAGAGTGTAACTGCTCCACAGGATTTTCTTGCCTTTGAGCTATACAAAAGCAGATCTCCAGGACTTTCGTTCGCGGATCACTGGTTGGGTTCGAACCAACCAGTCAACCTTTAGGTCAGTAATCGAGTGCAAGCGATTTGCAACACCCAGGGACCTATTTAAAATAAAAGTAATAAATAACTCAATAAATCTTAATTCTGTTCATTTTATTATTATTTACGCTCTTGAGGATTTACCTCTATTGTACGAGGGGGCTTCAAGAAGTTCATGGAAAACTTTATTATCTTTTAAATTCCTTATTTCCAGAACTTTTTGAAAACCATATTTTTGTGATATTGTTGTTAAGTGCAGGTGGTATCTGTTTCCATTCATAGTGTCCCAAGTAACAGAACAGAGCAGCCCCATAGGGTTGTCTAGGCTTTCCTGGTATAGCTCTTTAGGATAAGCACTGGACTAAACACAAGGTTGGCGGTTCAAACCTACCAGCCGCTCCTCGAAAATCCTCTACCAGGTCGCTATGGGTCAGAACCGACCTAACGGTATTTACCAACAATCTTTACAGGAGCAGATGTCCAGCCTTTTCTCCCTCAGAACTTCTGGGGTGGGTTCAAACCACCAACATTTCAGTTAGCAGGACTCCTTATCTGTAAGCGGAAATATCAGATAATGGTAAGCACATCTTTCAGCCATGTCTCCTTGGTAGCTTAAAATGAGCTGTGATGAGAATATTCACACCATGGAAATTGGCAAATGGCTATAAATCACATACTCCTACCCCCGCCCCCAGAAGCCTTAGTAGCTTAATGGCGGCTAACCTCAAGGTCAGTAGTTTGAATCCACCAGCTGCTCTGAGGGAGAAAAATGAGGCGCTGTGGGTTAATGCACCAGACTGCAAAGCCGTTTGACCTGCAAGTTCGGTGGTTCAAGCTGCTTCTCAGAAATCCTACACAGGGTCTCTATGGGTCGGAACCGACTCGATGGCACTTAACAACAACAACAACTCCCATAAAGATTTACAGCTGTGGAAACGCTATACATGGTCCCTATGAGTTGGAACCAATTAATTCAACAACAGCACACCACCACCACAAATGGTGGTGGAAAGTGAGGTGGAAAGAAGCAAAATTATGTTTCCAAGGTTATACAGCAAATGAATGACAGATGAATGAACTGAAGTGGCCCCAAATTCCAAAACTTGGCTTCTTAACCATTGTGGTTTCCTGTCACCAAATAATAATAGTACTAACTTCAGTCATCAACAAATCAATGAGACTATGAAGCTTCACAAATGTGTGACATTGTTATTATTAAGGAGTCCTGGTAACTTAGTGGGTTACCAGTTGGGCTTCTAGAGTTGGGCTACTAACCGCAAGGAGAAAGATGAAGCTTTCTCTTCTGGTAAAGAGTAACAGCCTTGGAAACCCTGTATAGCGTTGCTATGAGTCGGAAACCAACTCCACAGCCCACAGTCACCACTGTTACTATTATTACTCAGAAAATGGAGCCGAAGAAATCTTGAGAGGCAAAGAAGGAGGAGTTCAGGATGCTATTCTGAAGTTTTAGGATTCCTAGTTTTGGGGGGCAATGGACAGACCACTGTTCTAGTCCTGGCACTGGGAACTGCAGTTCTCCAACACACCACAAAGAGGCAACAGATCACTCCTCACCCAAACTACACACTTCAAGGCCCACCTATCTTCCCCTAACCCAGGTACCATTATCACCCCATTTCCCAGATGCTGGGACTGAGACTTAAAGAGGTGGGGAGGTACTACATGGATGAACCTGAAAATATTATGTTTAGGGACAGAAACTAAACCAAAAGAGGAACTTATTGTATGATTATGATTCCATTTCTATGAAATGTCAAGAACAAATGCAGAGAAACAGAAAGTAGATTAGTGGTTTGGGGGTTGGGGAGGAGGTTTGAGGGAAGAGGGCAATGTGGAGTGACTGCTAAAGGGTAGATGGTTTCTTTTTGGGGTGATGTAAATGCTCTGGAATCAGCTTGTGGGATGCTTGCGCAACCTTGTGAATATCCTAAAATGCACTGGATTGTATACTTCAAAATGGTGAGCTTTATGCTTCGTGAATTGTAATCTCAATAACAAAATTACATTTTTTTAAAAAGAGAGAGGGCGAACTCACTCTCATAGCCTAAACTTAAGCCAAGCAATAGATAGGTTCATGGGGCCAGTGAATACAACACAAAGTATGCTCACCATGGAATAGTCATTTATTCAAAATCAAAGGGGCAACAGTACCCTAAGGACCAAGATGAGAAGGGATGGGAAGGTGGGTAGAGTGATAACAAGAACCATAGGGAAGGAGCAGGAAAACTGTTGCAGGGAGGGGACTGAAACCATTGTCATGAAGCAAAGCAGATGATTTGCTGAATGTCAAGCTGATGATCTTGTCTGCAAATCTGCACTCACAATTAAAAAAAAAATTTTTTTAAATTCAAGATGAGGGGAAAAAAAGAGAGAGAGGAAGAAGATCTAAGAGTGGAGACAGGACTTGGTCCCAGCCCAGGCTGCGATTTAATTACCACAAGTCCAAGCTGTAGAGGTTGATAGGGGGAGAACTAAGCCTGTTCCTTCTCTCCCCGCTAGTCTGTCTTTGTATAAGTCTAGCCTTTGAACTGGGCCCTTGGGACCTTTGAATCTTAACTGCTTACTCATTTCCAAAGTCCTCTAGATCTCTCCCCAGTCCCTTACCCTAACAAAGATTCCAACCCCAACTGTAACATTGCCTAAAGATCATACCAAACCAGGCCAAACACCCAGCCATGCCTAGCTTCTGCAAACCAGAAAAGCCAACTATATTGTTAGTCGCATTGACTCCAACTTATGGTCACCCCATGTGTGAAGGGTAGAAGTGCTTAAGATTGGGATCTTTGAGAATCTGATCACCAGACCTTTCTTTCGAGGTGCCTCTGGGTGAATTGAAACCATCACTGGTGCCACCCAAGGACCCCTTCAGCTTCTGAATGGTCATCCTAGCCCCCAAATCTAACCCCACCCAACATGTAACCCATCCCCAGCCCAACTACACCAGCCTTCTCTAACTACAGCTTCAGTTTTCAATGGGAAATCTGTCCCCAAACGCTATCCCACCTATCCCACCCCCATTTCTGCATTCAGTTCACAAATCTTTACTGAGCACCTACTATAGGCCAAGAGTCCCTAGATGGTGCAAACGGTTTCACTCAAATGTTAAAAGAAAGGTTGAAGGTTGGAATCCACCCACAGGCACCTGGGAATAAAGACCTGGCAATCTATTTCCAAAAAACCAATCACTGAAAGTCCTTTGCATCACAAGTCTTCTGTGACACACTTGAGGTTGCCAGGAGTCAACATTGTCTGGATGTAGAGATGAACAAGATAGAGAAAGTCTTTGCTGATAAAACTTACCTTCTAGGGCAAGAGTCAGGAAATTTACAAGGAAAACAAAGCAGA